GCTGCTGTGTAAAAAGACTTTCCTACCTTGGTTATCAGTCAGAATTTGCTGCTTTCTGACATGTTAAGGAGCGCATCCCCCAACTGTCTAGTTTTCAAGACAGTGAAATAGACTAGTGTTACTCTTCTTGAATGTTGTACCTGCTTCAAATAGCTGGGGGTTTGCAGGAATCTGCAAAGCAGCATATCTTGCTATACAGCCCTATTAGGCATGGTATTTGTCTGAACCACACTTGTAGATTACAAGTCACTGGGGTCTGAATCTGTAAATGACTCATGTTGTTGAGATGGCATAAATAATAATTTCTGCTTTTAAGCTGCACTATCAAGAATTCCTGTCCCAGGCTCGCCCCCCTGCAAAGAGACAAATCCATGGCCATGATGATGGTCTTTGTAATGACTTCCACTCAGCATCAGAGCTTTGAAAAAATTATGAAGATAGTAAGTAGAAAACTCACATGATGAAGCCTAGAGATTAAAAAAATAAACTTCTTATTAATGGAGTGTGGCCAAAAGAGCATTGCCAGAAAGACCAGCATAAAACTATAATGCTATTTAAGCCCAGCATTAGTTTTTAACACTGTCAATAGTTTTCTGAGGGGAATGAAGAAGGATAAATGATAGCTATTTTGGTATCTCCTCAGGCTCAGATTTCCTAGTTTCAGAATCCAGTACCATTCCCAAAAATTCCAGTTTTCTGATTCTGGGATAATTTTTAAATACTTGTAGAAATAATGAAGAAGCTCTTAAATTTAGGAGAGGTGTGATTTGCTAAAAAGCATTGAATGAGTGTTTATAAGATTTCTGGCAAGTAACGTGGAAATTGTTACAAGTATTCTTATATTCCCTGAAGACCATGGAAAACGTTGACTGCTGATGTCAAAAGTGTATCGGACTGAAAAGTCACCTACACCATCTAGATTTTGGGTTTGGAACATTACAGCTGAACTAGTAGTTACATCTTAATGACCAGTTTTAATTTGGTGGTACTTAGAGAACCCTTCAGTTGTTTCTGTCATTTGGGGGATTTTTTTGTTTGTTTTAATGCTTTGATAACAATTATTGGTGTCCCAGAAGAGAGAACCTTAAGAAGGTACAATTTTCTCATAGTCAACAAGCTTGACTTTTCTCTTCTTGACCCCCCAAATGTCAAATTTTGGGTAAAGTGAAAGGGTTAGTAAATATGAACAAGTACTCGATAATGTTTATATTTGCATAAACTGGTTTAATGATGAGTCCTTAGGTTTTTTCATGTTTGAGTGCTAACATCAAAAGTTATGTTCCGAATTTGCTATTTACATTAGTGGAAGGAAACTAAAGCCAGTAATTAGCAGTGGCACCACACATCATGCATGATTGATTATTCTTCTGCATTAAATTTATGCTTCTCCATCTCACAAGGTTTCACTAGAATTATTTTTGACTTGTACCAGGGCAAATGAGAGAAAAATTAAGCCAATAGATGAGATCCTGTATTTTGATCTCTGTCTCCACCACCAGAAATTAGAAGCCAGCAAATGATGTTGCCTGACAAAGACTCTCAAAGAAAAATTGTTTTCTACAGGAAAGCATAGTAACTCTGGGAACAAGAAGGCATAGCTGAGGATTAATAAAGATTTAAAATCTATGTGAGGGGGCATTACTTTTTTAAGAGAAGCAGCACTGATGTGAAGAGCTGTGTATCAATCAGTAGGGTACAAGCTGTCATGAGTCTGCCCAAGCAAACCCCAGGGAAGCAGAATCAGTGTTCGCTGAGGAAATGCTATTTCTTTTTAAAAAGTTGAATCAATTTTCAATTGAGGCAACTTCTTGGCATCTATCATAGTTTATTTTGTAAGTTTTGTCGCATAGTGCAAAGTCATATTAATTGCATGTCAGAACACACAGAACTGATAAATAAAACAATGCAGGATCTTGGAAAACTTTGTAGTAATAAGTCTAGATAGGTAACTGAATAAAGTAATTACCTTTTAAGATTTTCTCTTCTACCAATGTAGAATACTTGAGCACCTGTTAGAGAATGTTTAGGGAACTGTTGGAGAAATACTTCAGGTATGGCAGCTTTCAAGTGAAAGCTTTTGAATAGTAAGTTATTCTTTAGTTCTATTAGCATTTTGGTATTGGTTCGCCATAATTTCAGAGCCAAAGTGAAAAAAAAAACAAAACCAGTATCTGAGTATATTCTTCCATCAGTTTGTCTTAAGCTGTGAGAAAATATTCAGGGCATAGAATCATAGAATGGTTTGTGTTGGAAGGGACCTTAAAGGTCATCTAGTTCCAACCCCCTGCCACAGCCAGGGACACCTTCCACTAGACCAGGTTGCTCAAAGCCCCATCCTACCTGGCCTTGAACACTTCCAGGGATGGGGCATCCCCAACTTCCCTTGGGCAACCTGTTCCAGTGCCTCACCACCCTCACAGTAAAGAATTTCTTCCTCACATCTGATCTAAATCTACCCTCTTCAGTTTAAATGCATTACCCCTTGTCCTATCACTACATGCCCTTGTAAGACATCCCTCTCCATATTTCCTGTAGGCCCCCTTTAGGTACTGGAAGGCTGCAGTAAGGTCTCCCTGGAGCCTTCTCTTCTCCAGCCTGAACAACCCCAACTGTCTCAGCCTGTCCTCATAGGGGAGGTGCTCCAGCCCTCTGATCATCTCTGTGACCCTCTTCTGGACTCACTCCAACAGGTCCATGTCCTTCTTATGTTGGGGACCCCAGAGCTAAATGCTGTACTCCAGGTGGGGTCTCACAAAAGCAGAGTAGAGGGGCAGAATCACCTCCCTTGACCTGCTGGTCACGCTTCTTTTGATGCAGCCCAGGATAGAGTTGGCTTTCTGGGCTGCGAGTGCACATTGCCAGCTTAGGTCCATCTTTTCATCCACCAGTATCCCCAAGTCCTTCTCCTCAGGGCTGCTCTCAATCCATTCTCTGCCCAGCCTGTATTTATGCTTGGGATTGCCCTGACCCATGTGCAGGACCTTGCACTTGGCCTTGTTGAACTTCATGAGGTTCACACAGGCCCACCTCTCAAGCCTGTCAAGGTCCCTCTGGATAGCATCCTTTCTCTCCGGTGTTGATCACACCACACAGCTTGGTGTCCTTAGCAAACTTGCTGAGTGTGCACTCAACCCTGCTGTCCATGTCACTGACAAGGATGTTAAACAGTGCCAGTCCCAATATGGACCCCTGAGGAGCAACACTCGTCACTGGGTCTCCACTCGGACCTCAAGTGGTGACTGCAACCCTTTGAATGTGACCATCCAGCCAATTACTTATCCACCCATCAAATCCATGTCTCTCCCAATTTAGAGACAAGGATGTCATGTGGGACAGTGACAGATGCTTTGCACAAGTCCAGGTAGATGACATCTGTTGCTCTTCCCTTGTCCACCAATGCCGTAACTCTGTTGTAGAAGGTCGCCTAATTTGTCAGGCACAATTAGTAAAGCCATGTTGGCTCTCACCAATGACCTCCTAATTTTCCATGTGTCTTAGCATATTTTCCAGAAGGATCTGCTCCATGATCTTGCCAGGCACTGAGGTGAGACTGGCCTGTAGTTCCCCAGGTCTTCATTCTTCTGGAAGTACACAAAGGCAATAGAATACAGAACTGAACTTGATAACATATAAGATAATTAAAAAAAAAAAATTATCCTGTTTCATGAGAATGTTGGCTTGTGTTTAGTAAGTAGAGTACCATATCTTGTTATTTGCTGTGAGAAGGTAGGGACCCTTCATGATTTGTCCAGAGATCTGGGGGATGTGTGGACATGATGTAGAATAAAATACCCTTTGATAGAACTTTGGAGATTTGGGGTTTGATAATAGAGAACATATGTTCTCCGTATATCTAAGACACACATTTTTCATCTTGAACTTGGAGATTTTTATTTCCTTTTGAGTAAACAACAGTTGAAGGTATATTTTGTTAAGTAGTATTATTATTAGGGATTATTTCATATTAGCAACTCCAAATTTTAGACATTACTTTTTAAGAATATCCATAATTTATAGTACAAATTGAAAGTAGAGACAATTTCTAATAATCTTGCCTTTCTTTTTTAGTAGGAACTTCTGTTATGTTTGTGGTAACATTAAGAACTTTTTTAATCAGTCTCTGAAAGGCAGATTCCTTCCCTCCTTTCAATTCTCTCAGCTACCATTAGAGTCTAAATCTGTCAAGTCGGTTAACTAGTCATCATTTAAAAAGCATGGTTTATATACTCTTAAGATTGTACCTGAAAAATTTAAAATTATAGCTTTCTTTAAAATAAGCTTAATTAAATACAAATTTTAATGTGAATGCTTCATGCATTTCATCTAAATAATACTGGAGTAAGCAAAGTCTGAAATAGTGGCCCATATGTATATTTATTAATTTGCTTTCTGTCATAATATAATGTAATATTTAACACTGATTTTCTTTGTTTGAACACAGTATATCATCACTCTTTCATAATTTACTCAGTACTCTTACTTATTCATTCGCCATATACTTTAAGGTCTTCCTCAGTAAACCAACATTACTGTTTTCTTCCTACACCATCACTAAGTTCATTCACATGAATACAGATTTTGGTAAAATATCCATCTTGGAATATTTGGGGATTTTACTGTCTTTTCTATCTTTATGTTGTCCAAGTGTCCCAGTTTCAATTGCTAGTGAGTGGTTCGGTTGGTAGAATGGATGGTCAGTAACTCTGTTTAACAGTGTCTTTTAGCATGAAAGGTAAATAATATGCTGATCCATGTTGAGGTCTGTATACTTTCCATAAAAAAGTGAAGTTCTTTTCTCTTCTTCCTAATTTCTAGAACTCCCTATAATGGTTGTTTCCTTTTTCCGTCTTCACAACCTTCTTCATGGTACTTGATTTTTCAAATTGCATGTACACGGCCAATATGAAAAAGTATTCCTGTTAATCATGTTCACTGTGTATGAGCTACCTGCAAACATAGAAAATGAAGTAAATTCTACTGTTTTGTTTGTTTTGAATTAGGCTCATGCACAGTTAGTTCGAGAAGTCGATGTAGAGAAGGTGTCAACTTTTGAGAACCCATATGTAGATGCAATAAGAAGCTTATGGAATGACCCTGGAATTCAGGAGTGTTATGATAGACGACGGGAGTATCAATTATCAGATTCAACTAAATAGTAAGTATCTGGTGGCTACAAAGAACTATATATCATTTTCTGTTTCTAGCAAAGTAATTTTTACTCTCTAGCTTCTTATACTATGTGTCTATGTACATGTTTGTATGCATATGCAGCACAAACATATCTGAATACACACTAAATTGAATTCAGAGGATACTTTAAGGAGCGGAGTACATCTAGTTTAGGATTATATCTGTGTTTGTTTCACAGAATGACAGTCTGTGATCATTTGAAGTCTTGAAGTAAGATTCTAACTAGGGATAGTTAATCACTTATGGTTTTGTTTTCTTTTGTTAGACTTGTTCAAGCCGTTACTCCCCTCTGCCATAAACTGACTCACAGACACAAGCTGGAGAAAAATACTTTCATGTAGTATGACAGTAGCAAATACTGGGAAGTGCAGTCACGGTAGACCTCCATACAACTCAAAAATTTTAATGCCCCAGAACTCCTTTTTTCCCAGGTTTTCCCCTTTTCCCTCACAGATTGCTTTAGCAGTCCTAGTGGTGAGGTGAATAGTACTAAGCAAGGGTTGTTGTGTTTTATTGAACTGCATTTCTTTTATGGAAACAAAGGCTAAACTTTAAAGAATATGGCTGCCAGGAAGACAACAGGAAAAGCACTTTAAGTTAAACCCCGTTTCTTATAGATCAACAATAATAAAAATGTGTATGTGACTAAACTATGTCTGAAATGTTATGCCTCTTGTTTCTTGGGGCAGGAATCTGATAAAATAGAACTGTGAAATTTGACATTGGAATCTGAGGACTGCCTGAAGATTGACTCCGTGACATTCAGTTACTCTTCAGTAATGTAGCATATAGCTCAGATAAAATTTCTTGTCGTCAAAGAAATGGATGATCGTGAGGGATGGTGACCTTTCGATGTTGACCAACATTAAAAAATACAACATAGTTATTGAAGCTGTGGCAAAAACCTCCATGGTCTCCACATGAATTTTATATTAGCTAGGGAAATTATTCTGATCACTCCAGTCTCCATTTGTCAGGTGTACATGGAAGCCTCTTATTGAGGAAGCACAGAAGGGTACCATGAAGCTCCCATTAAGCTCATTGGAACAGGGCTATAGACAGGAGAGGTCTGGGATGACATTTATCTGCACAGTAGTCTGAGGATTCTTACCTAGCACAACACTTCAGATGTGATTTAGTCAAGACAAACTTACTAGCATCTTGCTGATGCAATTTAGGCAGATGAAGAGCTACAGATGCATGATGTAGGTCTCCTCAGGTTTGCTCTGATGCTATCACTACACTGTGTTCTTCTGCTATATTTGCCCCATGCATAGGATTCCTGTTGTCCTGTGCAGTTTGCTGTCCTGTTGAGCTGGTTACCTTCCCAACCTAGCACTTCTATCGTTTGTTCATGCATGTTTTGCTGCAGAGTGGTACAAAGCACAGTGACATCTCTCTTGTATGGTTTGGATTCTCACTGTCCCCAAAGATACCATACTGTGTTTTGGGTTTTAGTGGTAAGAAAACAAATAGAGTATTATATAAAGTAGAAACCTTTAGAGTGCATAAATGGTAGAAGGAAAATTTCAGAGACAAGTTACTGACAATATACTTTCATATTGTTTCCATATTGAAATGAGTAGCAAGCATAAGTAGAAGGTGAAGCAGAGCTTGTCTTACATTTTGAATTTCCTGTATTTGTAGTTCCTAACTTTGTTTCCACAGCAGATGTGATACTGGTTTTAAATGTATGTATTTTGTGTGCTTGCCTTAGAGGCTAAAAATAGAATTACTTACTCTCCAAAGTAGGAAACAATCATCTGATGCTACTTCAAATCAGATTGTGCTGAATACCATAGTTTTGACCTAATTCTAATGAAATTGTCACCATAGTGGATCTTCTGAGTAGTATTAAAAATAGTGGGGAATAATTCATTAAGTAGCTATAGAAGCAAATTGCTAGTACATTGCCTTGCAAAAGGTAAGTGTACTAGTTGATGGGTTGTTTTTCAAGTTCAACTTGTTTAGCCATTTAGCATGAGTTTTTGCAGATTCGATTACTTTAACTGTAATCTATTATAGTTCATACTATGGATTCCTGCAAAATCTGTTTTAAATTAGAATGGTGAATCACTGTATATGAATCTTTAAAAGACCCTCTTGTTCCTTTATGCTTGCAAGTAGAGTTTTTTCAAGTCTAGTAAAAGTGATTAGCAGAAACCAAAGAAACATTGTTTCAAAAATACAGTGTGTATGTTTAGCAATAAAACACCCATAGAGAATTTGCTAGCTTTAAATCCCTGTCAAAAAAACAAGAAAACAAAATGCTTAAAAGTTACTACTAGGATTCACAAGGCAGTGAGTTAGAAATAAGCACCCATTGACTTGGTGAGTCTTAGTAATTTCTTCTGACTTAATGTATAAACCAGAATGGTTTGTTTTCCACTGTATCTCTTGTAAGCGTATGTGTCAATATTTGTCAATATGTCACACACGTTATTTATTCACCCCTTGCATGAGCCTCTCATCTTCTCAGTAGTTTTCCCCTGTGTTATTGTAGTAGTAGTATTTTCAGTTTACTCCCTGTTTTGTTTACACATTGTCTTCCTAAATATCTTCCTCTGTATTTTCTGTTTCTTTTATTGTTTCTAAACTCTGTTTCTGGTTTCTAATATATCCTGTATTTTTCTATACTTTCACTTTCTGTCATCTTTTAACCTGCTTTGTCATTGTTAGCTACACTTTTGATGTTTTTACACCCACTGCTAGTACCCTGGAAGAATACATCAGATGTGTGTCTACCAGAAAAGGGGAGGGGTCTAAGAAAGAAAATTGCCTGCATCATGGGAGTTGATCTGAACCTCTTCGAGGCTCAGCATATACATTCCATTCTTTTCCCTTGCCACTGGATGCTCCAAAGTTTGGGTGTTCATGTTGCTTTTAAAAGCAATTTCTAGACTTCTGTGTGGTAAAGTTAAGAGCACACCAGGTAAATAGAGATTATTCACTTCCCATATACATTACGGTGTGACTTAGCCACTTACCACTAAACCACTTCCCACAGTGTGAGACAGATGTAAACCAACACCACACTGTGGATTGCCTTAAGAAATAGCTGTGTGAGATGAGATCATTCAATATGTACTCTACAAGGTGTCAAGACCTTTTCCCAAATGTAAACACGTTACCAGTCAACAGTCTGATTATACCATGGCTTTTCAAAGCCTGAAGAAAGGAGAGGCAACAATCTTACTGTTCTTAGTAAGAGATACAGTTGTCATAAGTAACATTTCATATTTATGGACAACTTAGGTTGCAACAAGAATTTGTGGAGGTTCATCACCATTTTTCCTCATTACGACACTAAGGGCTTTCCCTTCATGAAGAGAAAGTAGGAAGTGTTTAGAACTGGAAAGAGCAGAGCCTTGCTGAAAAACTTCGATTTTTCTCTGGCCCCATGAAATGGAAATATTATGTCATTACGTACCTCCAACCAAGGACTTTCTAGTTGCTACACAAGCACTGAGGATATCCATTTATTTTCCTTTCCATGTCTGTGTTTTCTAACACTTCAGATAATTAAATACAATTTTCCCTGAAGTTCCTACACCACTGTGTTATCTATGCCAGTGTGTATTCATTACCCCACTTTGTTACTATATAATGCACTGCTCTATTAGTTGTACGTGCCATGATGTTCTCATACATACATGAGAGTCCTTCAGGCTTTTGTTTCTGCATTTGCTATCACCTTTAACAGCTTAGTTCCTACAGTTATACAGCTGTGCATATACCTGTGATCATGCAAGTTGAGTTAGCTGGACAGTTAGTACTGAAATGTAAATTCCAATATTTTACACTGTAATAAAATCTCCAGGATGTAACTCTGAGGACATCTTCATAATATCACTGATTTTTAACAGGGAAGAAAGAGTTGAATCCTAACAATGTCTGCTTGTTAAAGTTCATGTTTCATCTTTTGTCAAACCATTGTGTGAATTGTAGTGCTTTGGTCATCTGGTAATTTTTGTATGACAGTATTCCATCTGAGTTGGAAGTTTTTCGTAACTTCAGCTGAACAATTAATTCCTTCATACCAGTCCGTTAAAAATAACATCTTGCTTCCATGTTCCACTTCTGAAACAGGTGCATTTCAATGGAATTACTGTGTGCTAAATAGGATGTGCTTAGAGGCACACAAGAGGAAAGATCAGTGTATGAATCTAGGCTTTTACTACAGCAGTGTATTCTTTTTGCTGGTATTGCCTCTAGCAATCAGAACATTCATTCTTTTATTTCATAAAGCTGTAGGGAATTCTTAGGGCATCATGGGTGTGTGTGAGGCTTTCAGAAGGACTAATACTGTCCTAAATTGAGACCTGCTATGCGGCTGACACTGGTATAGCAAACTGTGAACCACTGTCAATGTGATATCTGTGTAACAGTCATTTGTTTGGGGTGAGAAAACCATAGACTCGTAATTTATAAGATATGTAAGTGCATCATTATGTAATAAACATTTTAATACTGTTCATTGATTCTTTCTTCCCTTTATTTGTAAAAATGTACTTGAAGGTTCTAAAGCTATATTTGGGGGCAATTTGTGTTGCAGAATGGTAGATTCTGCTTTTATGTATTCACAGTTTACACAGCCTTACTTGTGTAAGGTTTGCAGTAAGATAAAAACGGCAAATAAAAATGAAAGTCTAAATATTAAGATCAAGTACTAGCAGCAGAACAATGCTAACCCTTTCTTATGCCTTAGATATAGTCCCCAAGTATAAAAGGAAGGTCTGAAGAAAGATGAGGCATGAAATCTGCTGCATATGAAAGCACTGCATCCTATAGAAAAACTGAAGATTATGCAACAGAACTAGGGAAGTTCAGAAAGGGAAGTGGGGTTATATAAAGCAGTATACAATATGTATTTCTTTCAGGATCCTTTTTTTTCATGCCGTACTGAACATGTTTTTAATATCTGTGTAATTTTTAAACCACAATTCCTATTAAAAGTTTGCACAA